AGCCAGTGAGTGGGAACCGGTCTGCATGTGGGATCCGAACCCTCGGCGGGAGGGCCCCGCGCCTCCCAGGCGGCGCACTGTAGCAGTGCGCCACTGGGCCGGCCCCTCCCAAATCTTTTTTTTTTGTCTTTTTCCGTGTCCGGCAACGGATCGCAACCCTCAGTGTCGCCCCCACACCGGACCGGGACGGCACCGGACCGCAACCCTCGGCGTCGCTGGGCAACCCTCGGCGTCGCTCCCGCGCCTCGCTCAGCCAGTGAGTGGGAACCGGTCTGCATGTGGGATCCGAACCCTCGGCGGGAGGGCCCCGCGCCTCCCAAGCGGCGCACTGTAGCAGTGCGCCACTGGGCCGGCCCCTCCCAAATCTTTAACATCCAGATATGATACGAATTTAGTAAACGGTATCATTTTACTTTTTACTTTGAAGAAATTTCAAGTTTAAATAAAATTTGCAAGAATAGCATAAAGAACTCTTGTCTATCCTTTATCTAGATTCCTCGTTTTAAAGACCATTTCCACATATGTACTTTATAATTTTTCTCTCTATATGTGTGTATATTACATACAACATTTTCTAAACCATCTTTTCTAAGTCATTACAGTTGTATGCATCACACCCCTTTATCTCTTCATATTTCAATATATATTTCCTGTATCTTTTCAGTGTATATTTATGCATTTCTTACAGAATCACAGTATAGTTATCAAATTCAGAAAATTTAACCATCGTATAATACTTTTATCTAACCTATAGTTTATATTCTAATCTTATCAATGGATTCATTAATGACATTTTAAACCTTTTCTTCCCTTTCCGGTAGAGAATCCAATCCAGGATCACACATTGCATTTGGTTGCCATGAATCTTCCATCTCTTTTAATCTAGAATAGTTCCTCAGTCTTTGTTTTTCATGACATTGACGTTTTCAAGGAATACAGGCAATTAGTTTATATTGTACCCTTCACTTAGGTTTGTCCGGCATTTCCTCGTGACCAGGTGCAGGCTGTATCTTGGTGGCTGGAACTCTGTGACACTCAGAGGCACATGGCGCCCACTTGCCCCGAATTGGCGACATTCAGTTTAACCACTTGGTTACGGTGTCGTCCAGTGTCTCCACTGTGTAAATCCCATTTATCCTTTTGTAATGAATGATTTGTCAGATGTGTATTGCTTTGTTTGAAGCAGAGGGTTTGCAAAAGGCCTTGAATATGATTTGAAAAGATGTGAAGATAAGCTGAATCGTTTGGTTTTGTGATTGTTGAAGAGTTTATGAGGTTCCAATCTGCCACTTTCTTGTAGGAATACAGATGGCTGTTATAGAATACATGTAAACCTAACCGTTTTAAAAGAATACTGGTGTGACAGTTCCAGAAGCAGTCTACCAGATTTATCAGACGTGTACGAACAAATATTACATGTTGGAAAAGATGGCTTTCTTATATGCCATCTGAACTTCCCCAAGAGTTGTGTTTTGGATTCAGTAAAGTGGTATAAGGTAAAATTTAAAAAAAGTCTTCCTATTGATATTTTTCCTCCTCTTCTTTAAAACCCACTTGTTTTTTTCTACGTTAAGTTGTATCTTTCAAGGCATAATTGATAAAGAGATTTGTGTGCCTATGATAGATTTCTTAGCTAACAGCCCTTGATGTTACCCTGCCAATTATTTATTGTAAAATTTTTGGTTATTATGGCTTTCTTATGTTTTATTATTTGGATCCTCCACCTTCCCCCATTATCTTACTTTTTAGCCCGTCTCTGTCTTTTTAACATTAATTAATTTGTTTGAATGGGTACTACATGTTCATGGTTCAATAATTACAGATTATCTCTTCTCTTTTAATATCTGCTTCTGCAGTAAGATCCATCTTTGGTCCTTATTACAATATATTGGTTCTCTCTCCCTCTTTTAATTAGTTATATCAGAAATTTCTCAGTTCTACTGGTTTTTCAAAAAGCCAACTTTGACCTTTTTTGATCCTTTCAGTGATATGTTTCATGTTCATTTGTTTCTGTTTTCCTCTTTCACAAGGAATGTGGAAGTGAATGTTCCTATACACGGCTGTTGATGTACGTTTACCAGAGTGTTTGTCTAGCGTACATGACTACTAGCCCCAGGACAGCTAGATTTAGGGCATGTGTACGACTGGAGTATTCAACTTTATTGATGTTGCCAAATTGCTATACAAAATTTTATATCAGTTTATACTCTCGCCAGTAATATTCTAAATTCCCTACAGCCTTGTGTAGGACTTTGTACTGGTAGACTTTAATTAATTATTATTTTTTTACCAATTTGGTGGGTATAAAATGTTACCGTATCACTGTTTTAGTTTGCTTTTCCTTAATTATTAATGAGATTGACCACCTTTTTCCATCTTTTTCCCATAGGTTTATTGGCCATTTCTGAATCCCTTCTGAGCTGCCCACTCATTCCTGTTGCCATACTTCTTTTTCTCATTTTTCTCACCATTTTCTTGCTGACATATAGGTGATTTTATGTATCTATATATCCTGGGTACCAATGCTGGGCCTGCATTAAGAAAATATTTTTAATGAAGTATGACATATACATGAAAATGCACAAATCATAAATGCATGAGCTTGTTGGATTATCAGAACGTGAACACACCTTTTAATTACCCCTTCCCACCAAGGTCAAGAATGAAAACATTACCAGTGCCTCTGAAGGCCCATCTCTGCCATTTGGTAAAAACTGCAATTCTCAAAGATAACCCTGATTCCCAAAGATAACCATCCACCTGACTTACACTGACAGATTATATTTGCCATTTTTTAAACTTTTTAAATTGGAATCATATTGTGTGTAGTATTTTGTGTCTCTTCCTTGGCTCAATAGTAAACCTGTGAGAATCATCAATGTTTTTTCATGTAGCTCTTCTTCATCCATTTTCATTGCTGTGTAGTATTTCATTACTATCATCAGATTTTTTAGTTGTTCCTAATTTGAGGGTATTAGAAGTAAAGCTGGTCTGAACATTATTACATATATCTTTTGGTGCATGCAGTTTTGTGGGGCATTTTACGTAAGAGTGAAATGGCTGGATCATAGGGAATACCTTCTTTTAACAAATGACCTTTAGGGGCCGGCCCGGTGGCGCACTGGATAGTGCGCCGCTTGGGAAGCGCGGCGGCGCTCCCGCCCGAGGGTTCGGATCCTACATACAGACCGGTTCCCGCTCACTGGCTGAGCGAGGCGCGGGCAGACCAC